CCCTCCACAACACGTATAGGCCAACGACACTGACTCCATTAATGATCCCTCTACAACATGATTCCATTAATGATCCCTCCACAACACGTATAGGCCAACGACACCGATTCCATTAATGAGCCCTCCACAACACGGACTCACTGCACCCCCATCTCACCTTGCAGAGCTGTGATGGTCAATGCCCCCAACCCCCACGGTTATCCACTGGGTTTTTAAAAGGAAATTATTTTGAATTAGCACAAGGTTTACTAGCACATCAGCTTTACATTCAACAATTCATACACGTTTTCCTTCATCTCATTGACTGTGTTCCCAAAGTGTACCAACATTTATGCCTCTTCCTCCCGAATTTCCTGTTTCCATTCCTCCTTTCCGACCCATCCTGAGCTTTGTCCTTGGGTAAACGCTGACCTCAAATGCTGGATGCTGTGTGTACCTCCTGAAAGTGTCGTCCCCTAATCGATCCACCTACTGGCTGAAAACTGAGCTCAGGGTGTGAGTTCAGTTCCAGAGCTCAAGGATGACTAAGGAACATAACCTTGTGGGTCCCTAGTCGGTTGCATCTACGATTTTGTTTCACGTTTTCTCTACCACTCTGTCCAGGAGATGGAAGTATAGTGGCTCTGAAGGATAAACACTATACTGTGAGCCACACGTTCAGCAGTTCAAGCCTAACAGCTGCTCCTCAAGAAAAAGATGAGGCTTTCTGCTTACAGCCTGGGAAAGCCAACACAGGGTTTGGGTTTATTCAACTAAAATCATGGTCATGTTGACCTCGGCCACAGTTCTGATCGCAGCTTCCCACACAACTTGCCCTGGGAGCCGGATGGCCCTTTTACCCAGTGTCCCTACAAAATGCCCCACATTCCAGGGTGTGGAAAACCCAATTGTTTAACAACCACTAAGTGGATTTTAGCATCTTCACAGGTCCCACACAACCATCACCAGGCTATTTATTGTGGAATAATTGCATTAACTCAAAAGGAGATTCAGTATCTTTTTCTCCTCTCTGTATGGCTGGTATGTCCTAAGCACTATTGTCTACGTGAAAAATATTTGATGTGAGATACTTCCCAAGTTGTAGGTAAAGTTTGCAAATGAGGTAAAATGGAAGGGATGTAATCTAGAGGGAGTGACCATTTGTGGAGAAGAGTGGAACTGAGTCAGGAACCCCCCCTTGATGGACTAGTGATTGATTATTCACAAATGAATGAGTGCCGGGAAACCCCCTCCCTTTCTTCATGCCCACCCATGTCAGTGCGGTCAGGGACTCAAGCCCACAGGGCAGGGCAGAATGGAGCGCCAGGCCTCCAAGGCCTTCTCCTGGGGAGCGGCTGGAGAGTCCGCTATCAGCCCACGTGCCTTTGGGGTGCTTTCTAAAAGACACAGGAGGATAAAATAACCACCAAGAAGCAGGGTTTGAAAAGTTCAGAAGAGATTTGTTGGGCTTTTTAATTTACAATCAAGTTTATTGGGCTACATAATTCAATAAATAACAGATGTGCCCTGGCCTGTGAGTCTGCACACCTCGCAACAGTTCCTGAAGAGCAAACTGCAGCCAGGTGGGTATGGGGAGAAGAGCAAGAACGGATGGAGACGCTGCCTCGTCAGTGGGAGCGAGACTCAGCCCCCACTAGCCCATCCAGAAAACAAGTGCAGAAGGAGAGCAAAATAAAGTGCAAATTAAAAAGGGATCAAACCATGGGTGCTTTGGAACACTACGAGAACCAGAATTTTATCCACAGGGAAAACGGTAAAGATAAAATGCCCCCGGCTGAGTCTTCCCCATCCTTAGCCACAATCTCCACCCTCTGGAGCTGGCCGGAGGAAGCAGCCCCTGAGTGACTTGTCCTATCTTCTGGGGGTCTGCAGATTTACCCCCACATCTCAGGCCAAACGTTCTTGTTGCCTCCTAACCCTTATTTTTTTTTTTTTTTGTAAAACTCAAATTAAGATTTAGCTCAAATCAAGACACCATTATGTAGACTTGCTCGTGGGAACAGGAAGAGGAGTCAGAAGGTCTGAAGAAAAGCGTTTTTTCTCTCTCAAGAACAGTCTGAAGAAACCTGAGGAGATTTCAGCAGTCATCAGACAAAAGCAGAACCAGAGCCCCAGACGAGGGCGCCACCCACCTCCTCGGAGAGCACAGTGCCAGGGCTGGCGTTTCTGATGGCCTCCCCTCCCCGCCCCACCCCACCCCAAGGGATGGGAGGAAGATCAGGACGAGGAACCCTAGTCTGGAGGGTATTTTGGCACGGTGTTCTGGCAAGGAGCCAGCAGGTGCCTGGGCCCCACATGGTGAGGTATGGAGGTTCAGGGCCAGTAGTGTTTCCAATGGCCACAGGACAGAGCCTGCCCTCTGGACGAGCCTGTGGGTGACACGCACCACCTGCAGCGGTCCTCTCAGAGCAAGACCCTCCTGGCCACACCGCATCGATGGTGCTCCAGGAAGTCCAGACTGCACCTGAAGGCCTGGCCTGCCCAGCCATCTACGTCCACTCCCCTCCTCGTGAGAAGGGCAGTGAGGTCTGTTGTTCGGTCAGTACTCTGACCACAGCACAGCTTTGCTTCCTTTGTCCACACTGACCACGTGCGAGCCGGATGGGGACCAGGCCACGGCATTGACTGGCGCGCTTCAAGGAAAGAGACCAGAAGGGGGGTGGGGGTGTGGGTGTGGGGGTGAGCTCGGGGCTGGACGCCAGACAACTTTCCTAGGAGTGCAGTGCCCGCCCACTCACAGGATCTGGCTGCGGAAGGAGTTTACTCTAAGGGGGCAGCACTGCGTAGCCAGGGGCGGAAGGAGGGGCACTGCCAAGGACCAAGGGGCCTGGGGGCCGTCTCTCAGGAAGACAGGCTGTGTGGCAATGGTATCTACTGATGGGGAGAGCGGTGGGGCAGAGGGGGAGGAAGGGGAAGGCGGAAGGGCCTGTGCCACACAAATGCTGGAGGGGAAGCTCTAGCTCCAGCCATAATACCTCAGGAAGCAGACCGTCTAAACAGGAGAGCCAGAGGGGTGCTACACGGATGGTCCCGGCTCCTGGGGTTCACCTACCTGTGCTGCTTCGAGAGAATCTTCTCCACCTTTCCCGTGGAAACGTTCCAGACATAGAGAGAACCCTCGGCCGAGCCAGCCATCACGAAGCTGCCGTCAGGGCTAGAGAAGACAGCAGAACAAAGGAGTCAGCCAGCCCCAGCCCCTTCCTGCTGGGTCTCCGCCTTCTCAAGTCAAACACTCGACTGGAAACTCGCCCGTGACCCCCAAACTTGGTCTGAGGGATGCACACCCACGGCCACCCTCTCAGCAACTCAGCCGTTCTGAGGGTGGAGGCTCCGTGAGAGCAGGGCAGAGGGGGGCAGACTGAGGGCAGAGCAGAGCAACACACGTTTCCATATCACCAGGACAGACAACCACCTCCCTCCGACTCTGTCACTCACCTGAATATGGCTCTGGTCCAGTCAGAGCTGCACTTGAAGCCAGGGGCACTGAAACAAACAGGCCTCATGAGCACACATGGGGGCACGCTCTGACAGACAAGTCACCGTGAGCACACGTGAGGGCACGTGCTGACAGACAAGTCACCGTGAGCACATGTGCGGACACGCTCAGACAACAGGCGCTGTGAGTAACCAGCAGCCACTGGGGTTGGCCTCGCCCAGCCCACCTTACCTGAATGACTGCTTGACAGTGTGTTTTCGGAGATCGATAATTTTTAGCAGGTCATCGCGGGAGCAGGTGAGGAGCTCAGTGCGTTCCGGGTTCAAGTCCAGGGCGGTTACCTTCCCAAGCAGCTCCATCTCTCGAATGATACTCTCTGATCTAAGAGAACAATGGTCATGGAATGCCACGACACACAACTTCCCTACCTTGGAAATATGGCTTCTGGGACCTTCCCTCAAGAACCCATGGCAGCTTTAGTGCTGAGTATCTAAGTTCCCTAAGAATTCATCTCCTTGCCTATGTCTGGGGTGATAACACATCTGCCAAGCAGAACATGCAATCAACAAGTGCCAACAGGTGCCCAATCGGTGGCATTTCTGCTCCTCCAGCTGGTGGCATCTGCCCACTGCCGCCCACTGGCCATGTTCTGGCCACAGCTGCTGGCTTGGCAGCTCAGCTGGGCTGTGCATGAGAGCCGGCTCTGACAGGCCTGTTGGTGGACCTCTGTCACAGGTGAGTTCTGACCTTCAGGCCCAGCCCCGGGAGCTGCACTGTAATGCACCAGGATAAAGGCACCTCTTGAGTCAGCACCCTGACACCCTGATATCTGTGTCCATCTTCCCCACGAGGCCTTAACTACCTAATAGGAAGAGGATCTCTGCCACCTTCAGCTCCCTTGTAGCTAAAGTCACGTCATCGAGTCGATTCCGACTCACAGCCGCCCCTGATGTAGGATTTCTGAGACTGTCAACCCTGACTGGAGCCGACAGCCTCATCTTTCTATCAAGGAGCAGAGCAGCTGGTGGGGTCAACAGTTCACTGCCTAACCCACAGCTTAACACGATCTGTTGATCTGAAGAGTTGACTGGAGCTCTTTCCTGCCTCTTATACCAGACACGCCATGGCTCCACCACCCACAGACCCGCTCATCTGCCCTGCAGAAGGTGCGACTACCGTACCGGATGTCCCAGAAACGAATTTTCTTGTCAAAATGTCCACTCATAACACACTGCTCGGTGCAGACAATATCGTTGCAACTGGATCCTGCAAACACCGTCTTTATACCTGCAAGCAGGGCAACCATCAGGGTCAAGTTGATGACTGATGAGTCTGAAGCCTCAGAAAGGGGAAGTGGCTTCTACGTCAGCCCCACTCGAAATACCAAACTGGACTGAAGTGCGCACTGCTGTGCACTGGACACAGGCTTTGCCTTGTTTAGTATGAGCACAGACCACAGACTCTGCTGCAGAGGCCCCAGATGTGAGGGTGTATACACACAGACAGACAGACAGAATCTTCTCAGACTTGGCCGCCGAGGCCACGGGTGTGAGAGGGTGTACACACAGACAGACAGACTCTCCTCAGACTCTGCTGCGGAGGCCCTGGATGTAAGGGTGTATACACACAGAGAGACAGACGGAATCTCCTTACAGACTTTGCTGCGGAGGCCCCGGATGTGAGGGTGTACACACACAGACAGACATATGGAATCTCCTCAGACTCTGCTGGGAATGCCCCGGATGTGACGGTGTATATACACAGACAGACAGACGGAATCTCCTTACAGACTTTGCTGCGGAGGTCCCAGAGTTTGAGTGTCCGGTCATGGCTCCCTGAGACAATGCGTGCATTGTCCAGCAGGAACTTGGCTGACAGCACTTTCCCACTATGTCCAGTCAGCGTGTGCTAGGAGAGAACACAGCCACATGTCAACCCTGGGCCCACAACATGGAAGACTACAGATGTTCCCACGAGTCAGGTCCCCAAACAGCAGGGACAGAAGCCACGAGTCCCGAGAGCAACCCCCTACACAGATCTGGAAGCACAGAGGCTGTGTCTTAATGTGAAGCAGGAACACCTCAACAGCAACATGTTTGTCCAGCTGAGTGACCAAAGACCCTTACTTAGGCATGGCTGGATGTGAGGTATCAAGGTCAATGAGAAGACCAGCAGCAGACCTCTCATTGGTGACCTTTCAGAAAGAAGCTCTATCGTGTTCTTGAACTCCCTGAATTTGTAGCCCTGTTTCCGTGAAGTCAGCTGCCCACTGAAGGTCAGCGCGGGCACCAACAAGGAAGGGGGTTTCCACTTGGAGGCCTCAGCTTGGAAACGTCAGATCAGCACCACAGACTCCAGTGCTCCCAGTGTCCACGTCCTGCCGTCGTCACAGAGCTGTTGGGCGCAGCCAGAGCGTCTCCCTGGGCTTCTCAGGGACACGGGATGGGGCACCCCTAAGTGTCAGCTGCCCTGTGTCCATTACGGCACGACTGGAGCCTGATGGGAAAGAGCAGCTGGGACGGGCAGGAAGCCAGAGTCTGGGCAGTCAGACCTTTTACCAGTCATCACGGGCCTCTCACTAACACCGGGTCAAATCATTCTATTTGCAAAAGCCCCAAGAGTCTCTGATTTTAAAAAACGCTGTTAAGACTCTAATATTATGTCTTATGACTACTAACTGTCTGGGTTCCCAACTCCCAAAGAGGAGACCCCAGAGGTTAACACTAAAATTGAAAGCAACCACTTTTCCTCCGTTCTTGGTGGGTCACTGCCACACTGGCATCGGAATAAGCCCCTCAGGCCCAGATCCACTCTGTACCTTCATAGTGAGACTCGTCATGGATTCCAAAACGTGGCTGACATTGCCGCTGTGTGAAAATCCTCACTGATCCTTCTGGAAGGATCCAGAAGCTCCCAGCACCAACAATCTTATGCTACTTTTATCACACGATTCCACATTCACGGACCCAATCAAGTAAGAACCACACAAACACTACTCAGGGTGTGTGGAAGCAAGCCTCCTCGGGAGAAATGAAGTACCATAAAGTTCTCTTTGTGTCTACAAAGTATTAGCAATCTAGAGCTGACGTAACTTACGTATTTGGGAGGATGCACACAGGCTATCCACCAATGCGACAGCATTTTCTGTAAAGGACTTAAGTCTATCTCCTGAGGACACATCTGTGGAAATCCCTGGGAGACAGAAGCCTTGGGCAGCTACTTCCCATGTCGTATCAATTCTCACTGGTTTCATCCAACTGTAAACATGTGCATGGCTTTCTCTTCCTATCCCAGCGAAGCCACCTCTCCCAGTCAGTGGGAGGAACACTGGGCTGTAAGCGGAGCATATGCATTTACAGCTCTTTACTCGGTTAGGGTTTCTAATCTTAAGCTTTAACATTACTTTTGGATTTGAAAGGAGCCCTGGTGGTGCAGCGGGCGATGCGATGGGCCGATCGACTCAAACCCAACAGCCGCTCCTTGTGATCAAGATTTAGCAGCCTGCTCTCGGAAACCCCCCAGGAACAATTCTGTCCTATGGGGTGGGAATCAAGGCTCCCGTCTCATGTGTCAATAACCGTGTGCAGCTTGGATTCAACCAGCTCACTGTACTAGGACTTACCCGTAATCGATAATCATCCACAGTCCAGATTCGGCTGGCAAAATCGTTTGACGCTGCTAAGAGGTAAGAGCCCTATGGGAATAAAGGAAGAAAATAATTTTCAGCCAAACCTGAGGCACTCCGTTCACAAGGTACACATCTTCTGGTACTCAAACCCAAGAAGGTGTGGAGGTCTGAAAGGACACGCCAGGTTCAAATGCAACTATCACCATCGCCACCAACATGCCACCAGCACTTCCTCCAATCCTGCTCCCTTTCCCCAGGGTGAATTCTCCAAACACTGGCCCAGCCAGAGACCCCAGAGGCAGTCTGGCCTCTTCTGGTCACTTTGAGCCCTGCTGTCCAGGTTGTGATCTCAGCTCAGAGCCAGGTCTTCTCTGGGCTGCAGCCCTGCCTGCCCGTCATTGTCATTGCTGTACGGCTGTCAGAGCGGGGCCTTACAGCCTGGCCCCAGAGCTCCAGCACTCCGTGCCCTGGATCCACACCTACCCCTCTGGGTGGAAGCCAAGGCCCTTGCCGGGTGCTGGGGCACCAACCCAGCATCCAGACAGCGGCCGTCAGCCATGAGGCCTGCACGCTAGAGGCCCCTCAACACAGGATCCACTGAGGTAAGCCAGAAAAGGGGCATCCAGCCCTAGGCCCTGTAGAGGGCACCGCTACCCTATTCAGTGTCTGGACCCCGGGTCATACAGTTCCGCATCTGAACGTTCACCACAGACCCAAAGCTGCACACATCAGTCAAACCAGCAGTGAGGCCTATCATCAACCCACATGGTTCTCACGTGTAGATCGGACTAAACTGTAAAGAATGGGAGAAGACCTCAGGTAAATCGTTTTTCAGTATCAAGATCCAAACAGCGTCTGTTTATTAGATTGTTGTTGTTTTTGTGCCGTGGAGTCGGTTCCGACTCATAGTGACCCTACACAGGGTTTCCGAGGCTGTAAATCTTTATGGGAGCAGACCACCTCATCTTTCTCCCGCGGAAACGCTGGTAGTTTCGAACTGCTGACCTTGTGGCTCGCATCCCGATTCGTAACCACTATGCTACCAGAGATACTTAGTCCCAAACCTACTCCCAGGGTCCCTAGCGCACGGCTTTACAGGAGCAGACTGCTGTTGGTCGGTGCTAAGTGCCGTCGAGTCAGTTGTGACTCACAGCAGGCCCGTCTAGGGTTCCTGAGGAGTGGTTGGCACATTACTCTGCAGCGCCACATAGCAGGACTCACCCATGGGAGCAGATTGCCTCATCTTTCTCCCATGGAGAAGCTGATGGGCTTGAACCACCGTCCTTGCAGTGAGCAGCGCAATGCGTAAGCCATGTGACCCTGAGATACTTACAGCACTATCAAATTCGATGCTTGTGATCCCTGCGTTGCTGCCAGACAGCGCACCTTTGAGCTCACATTTGTCTGTATGAAACGAGAACAGGGCTGGGGTTAGACAGGAAGTGAAGCAGCAGCAGGCAGTAATGTCAAATGGGACAGGTGAAAGGACCACGGAAGCCAAGCCCAGTACCCCGTGTGATAGTGCGCACCAGGTGTGCTTCCTGAAGACCAATGGTCCTTTTCCTGGGAGCTCACTCAGGGAAGAAGCTAGGCTCCTTGCAGTGATGTATCAGAAATCCCCTTGGACTTGTTAGGGGAGGAGACCAGCACAACAGTTAAGCGAATGAAGCAGGCAGCGAGAGGGAGCTGTGAGGTGCTGACAACCAGCTCATGGTTTCACTCCCAGTCGTGCCCACGTTCCCTTTGATTTTTGCTGAAGGTAAGTCTGTTTCTAGCATTACAGATAGGCATCTCTTATCTTCTGCACGCTGCCCGGTCCTGCACCAGCTTCTCAGTTGTTGGTACGTCTGAACCAACTGCTGCAGCCGCTGTGCCCATCCACTGCGTCAAATCTTTTCTTTAAGCCATGATGTCCTTCTCCAGGGACTGGTCCTTTCTGATACTGTGTCTAAACTAAGGGAAACCAAGTCTTTCCAGCCTTGCTTCCAAGGTGCATTCTGGCTGCAATTCTTCCAAGGAAGGTTCTTTCGTTCCTCTAGCAGCCCGTGACTAGACTCCAGATCCTTTGCCAACACCACAATTCAAAGACATCAATTCTTTGTCAGTCTCATTGCTCCATGTCCCTTCTAGTCAATCTCATGCCATCGTTTAGATTTTAGATTTAAAAATTGAGCCTCATAAAAATTTCATTCTTTTGCTATCGTTTTATTATTGTATAAAACCATCATATATTTTGTTATAAAAACGACATCTTTCAATATTTTGCTATCATTAGTGTTATTAGCATTCATTAACTTTAAGTAGTTTTTCTGGACAAAACAGTGCCGAGTACATCTATTTTTATTGATCCCTATAAACAGAGTCTGTTTCCTAGTAAGGATCCTGCCCCTGGTAGGGTCAGCGGGTCAGCTGCTCGGATCTCAGTCACTTTGCCTGCATTCATTTGCTTGTCAGATGATCCCCACGCACAACACAATCACCCACCCAGTGTTCTCCCCACACGAGTAGACTCTCACCTCCAAACACTTCCCAAAGCTTGACCCTGCGATCCATGCCGCCGGTGGCCAGCAGCCGGGAGCCGGGGCTGAACTGCACGGCGTTTACTTCCCCATCGTGTGCATCCTGCAAGACAAGCATGTGTCACACGCCCATCGGGGCCTCGGCCCACAGAACCTGCCACCTCCAGCTCTTAACAAGGGGGGTTGGATGTCACAGTGCTTTCTGGAAGCTCAGTGTTGCCAGTGGCGAGACCTCCACCTTTAGAGTCTGCTCAACTACAAAGGGTGTCTTTGGCTCTGTGATCTACAACTGGGCCTTCAACAAGGAACAGCGAATAATTCATGAGTTTACATTCTCATAGGATGTTTACGAGGCTGGCATCCACACTGGAATACGTGACCCGAAAAGAGGGCATTTGGGTTCTGGACGAGAACCAGCATCCTAACCCACAACGAGAAGAGGGAACCAGAGGACTTAGCCCACTCTGGTATGGATGAAATGGGATGCCTGGGATTTGCTCCTGCAATGGAGCTGTGTGTAGGGGGATGGACACAAAGGTCAGGAGATACTGGGATAGCAAGCTGTGTGGCTGGACGACAGTTCACAAGAGTGACCACTGGCTGTTAGGGCGTCAGCCTTAGGCCTTCAGGACTCCATCCCTGGGGTCTCACTGCGCCCCCTGTTCCCCACCTCCTGGCATCTCATGCCTCTTCTCTCCCCAAGGCTCTCCGCTTAGGAGGTCTCAGATTGAAAACTTGACGTCAGGCACCAGCACATCCGCTCGCCCTCTGGACACTCCAGCTGAGGTGCTGTTGTTGGACACGTGTCGGCAGTGAGCCTGGCGCTCTCAGAAACACGCACAGACACGATCCTAGAATTCTGTCAGCAGCGCCAGGACCCCAGGCACACAACTCAAATGTGACAGGAACAAACAAGTGGGCTGCTGGGAGTTGAGGGCACAGGAGGTCAGTGCTGTCAGGTGCGCTCAGACCTTTTACCAATCATCATGGACCTCCATCCACAGCGAGCCCCGCGACAAGCCAGGGCAGGTCACTGAGCAATGCCTGTCTCCTGGACTCCTCCTCGGCCGGGTGTCTGTTCCCTCCTGAGAGCTGGCTCCCTGCTCTCCCACCCAGGAGCTACCTCGTGGGCTCCATCCCTGCCTCACTGCCCACCTGGAAGCTCGAGCATTGTTTCTTCCCAGGACCTGATGCTGGTACCACAGTGACTTCCGGCCTTTCAAAACAAACCATTGTTCTGTGGCTCTCTCCCAAGCCCTCACCATGCCGAACTCCTCCCTCGCCCATCACTCTGGCTACCATCCGCTCTCTTAGCTAGTCCTGTGCTACCCAGGATGACCACCACAGACCCTGTCCTCTGGGGAGAAGCAGAATAATCCATTCCTCCCATCAGATGGGGCCACAGCAGGGGGAAGAGCTCTGTGGCCACAACTGGCCTGGCCCATGGCTGCGGTGGAGCACACTTACGAAGACACAGAGTGCGGTGGTTGGCACCCGCACGTCTTTACTGGACCCGGGGTGCGTGTCTGGGTTGTCTGGAGGCACGGGAGGGGAAGAGACGGAGCGCCGCCTGCAGAACGACATGGAAGAACCCATGAGATGGGGCGGTCCAGGGCTCAGGGCTGTGAAGCGTCAGAAGGGAGTCCACAGCTGCCTGACTGAAGAGGACACCCTCGTCCCTGGCTGCTTTCCCATCCTCAGCCTTTCGCACCCGAATAATGCGCAAAACGCCAGTTGACTCCTCAAGGACCCTACATCCCAGGCTCACAGACTGACTCCAGCATCGTCCCTCAACCGGCCAGCACGCTTCCTGTGGCAGCCAGCTCTTGGGCACAGAGAGGGGACACAGCTGCCTGACCACTCACTCCTCACTTGCCCTTGTGGTCAAGGGCAGGGCCAGGCACATGCCAGAAACAGAGCAGCCGCAGCGTGAGCGGAGCCCGTGCATTCCGGAACATGCAAAGCGTCCAGGCCAGCGTGTGCGCGCCCAGTGAGCGCTTGGTGACCGGCTGGGGCAGTGAAGCACGGTCAGCAGCGTGGCCAGACCCACACTCGCATGCGGGGCTAAAACACGACAGTGGTTTTCACCTGGCAGCATCGGATGAGGAGTGATGTCCCAAAAGGGGAGACTCGGACAGACTAAAGGGAAAGGCCAAAGGTCAGCACGCAGCGAGATTAAGAGGGAGGATGTTGAGGGAGAAAGAAGAAGCTGAACCAAAAGCTGAAATCCAGGCACCTGCGTCCCCTGCTCCACTGATACCCTGGAGTGCCTTTCAGTAAGTCCTAAGAAACCAGGTCCGTTTGCTGAGGGCCAGTGACACAAACAGTACAAAGGCAAGGCGAAGGTTTTCTAACCTACCCAAAGATATTAGTGATAGAATCCAGAAGGCCTCCAGCAGGCTGCGAGAGTCGCTTACTAAAGAGGAGGGAGGACAGGTTTAAACCTTTGAGACACTGCCCCAGTCAGCGGTCAACACCAACAGTCACCACCTAGGCACCTGGGCGCGGGGCTCCCCTGCCGTTCCCGAACCCAACATGTACCGACCACCAGAAAACAATGGGGAGTGAGGGAAGCCCGCAGCCTGGGGATCTTAGATGGAACCAGGGTCCTGAGAGTCCTTGTTCCTGGTCTTGACCAGCAAGCACAGGTTGTGAAGAACCACCCCTCGTCTCATCCTGTTAGCACAGCATTGGCAACTGAAGACCAAACACCCTGGACTCCAAGGTCACGTTAGGGTACGATTCATCATCCTTTCAGAACACGCAGGTTTTATGTACGTTTATGGCTGTTTCCCCAGGACTTTCTGGAAGCACTCTTGTGTATAAACACTTGAAGTCATCAGGGAGGCACCTGCCTTCAGGGCCACACTATGGGAATGGTCACTCGGTGGGGGTGACTGAGGAGGACGGGGGCCGGGGCATCCAGGAGGCTGCTCGTCTTGGGCACAGCGGGTCCCAGGCTTTGGGTGGGCCCACACGTGCTGATGGCGGTCAGCGCTCCTCTGGCTGCCCCACCCCGTCTACTTACGTGGCCGCTCTGACGGCCCGCACTGGAGAGGTCTCTTCAGGGTGCTCCGAGGCCTCGTCCAGGAGGACTTCAATGTCATCGTCCCTGCAGAGGAAGGGCAGGAGGCCGCGGCTTTGACTCTGCTGGTGTGGAGCTCTGTGGTGAATACTCGGCACAAGCCAACACCGTTTCCGTCACACGTCGTCACTGGGGTGGGGGGTGGGAGGGCTGGCCAGGACAGGGAACTGCTCACATCAAATCCCGAATTCCAAAGGCAAGTAACATTCACAGGGCGCTGAGGAGCCCACCGGAGTTTTGGTGTGGCACTGCAGAATAAGCACTTGACCGCAAGGTCAGTTTGAACTGTGGTTCAAACTCACCAGCTGCTCCTCAGAAACCCTACAGAGGGTCACTATGAGCTGGGATCAACTCAATGGCACTTCACACCAACAGGCCCCCTGTCAGGTGTAACTCACTGCTTCGTCTGGAGAAGAGCGAGTCAACCGACAACAGTGTTTGAGAGGACGGCGCCAGGCCCGACTTGAGACTTGAGTGCACCTCACAACCAGCAGCCCTGCCACCTCCACAATGGTCCAACAGACATTCAACAGAACCACACCTGGAACCAGTCACGGGGAACATAGTTGCTAAAGTACCGTCCTCAGAACCAAGTCTCAAGGTCACCTCAGCTCAACTATTGGTCTCTGCTCATCCAGAGTGAACCAAGTCAAATCCGCAAGCAAATAACTGAAAAGTCCAAGGACTCCAGGGTCACAGGCACCTCAAGCTCCATGACTCTGAGACAAGAAAAAGGAAATGGTGCCCAGCTGCCACTGCTGATGACCCTAAAGGGATCATAATAGACGCTCCTGAGGAGAGCGGGAGAAATGTGGACCCACAACTGAGTCATCACAAAAGGCCAGGCTCACAGGGTAGAGCTGACACAGACTGATGGGACTCCCCCCAAAACTAAGGCCCTTAGAAGACCCCCTTCAGGACTGGACCTGAACTCATCCCTGATTGTCAGCCACATGGTAGCCAGGCCTGTAAGGTGAACCATCACACCAGGGAGGGACACACTCTTTAGAAGAGTCACCCCTCTGAGGTCAAAAGGGAAGTACTTGTTCAGGATAAAGCTAGAGGCAGGAAGGGAGAGGAAGGCAGAAGGAGGAGACACAGTAAATCTAGAAGTGGGAAGAACACCATTACACTATGGGGACCACAATCAATGTCTCCAAACATGTGCCCAAATGCTGAATGGTAATTTGCTCTGTAAAATGTCACCCAAATCACAAATAAACAGTACACTAAAAAACAAAGCTCTTGGGCAAAGTTCCAAACCAAATCCCATTGCGTTTGTTCCAAGAGACCCTAGTCTTCATGTGTGCTTCCAAGACATGGCTAGATTTCACTTACATCCACCAACCACAGCAGAGCAGGGACATGCAGCAGGGCCACAGCTACAGCCGGATCCAGGGCACAACCAAGGTGACTGAAGTGTCAAGAGGAAACAAAGAGCCTGGAATTTGTGGTGGGTGCAGGAAGTTAGAGCCCACCCCTACAGCAGAGCACCTTTCCGGGAAGCGATGTGACAATATGCCCCAGAGCCGGACCTTCCCGGTGCTAGTCCAGGAACATCCCCAGGAAACTGGAGGTCCGGTCAGGGAGCGCACACAGAGCACTGTTCCTAACAGGCAGACCTCAAAGGCACAGAAGTACAAGCTCAATGACCCAGGCGTCCAGCTGAAAGAATCAAAGGTGCTTTTATTTTTCTGCTGCAAAAGTTTGTGTTCTTTTTGAAAAATCTGTGTGTTATTTTAAACCAAAAAAAAAAAAAAAAAGTCAATCCTTTTGTGATGTGTGGCCCATACATGAGGGCTTCAAAACAGAATCGAAAGATGGTAGAATTTTCCCATTAATGTTCAGACATCCCTTTGCAGTCCACCCAGCGACATTTTCAGCCTCTAGGGCTCCTTGGGCATCTGCTATCCTGCCTACAGCACGTGCTGCCACCTGGTGGGGACCTGTGTAACTGCACCAATCCTACCAGAGTCCCCTTGGGACCTATGATTCCCATAAACCAGTACCAAAATCCTATTACCACACACACAAAGACACTACAACCTTGATTTCAGCATGCCCTCCGTTACTGAAAACACACAGCATCAACATAAACATCAAAGCAGAGAACATGTTGGCCGTGGAAGGGTTACAAGGACCGACACATGAAGGAAGAACAGAGATCTCATCCGCACGCAGGTCTCCACTTACTGTTCAACAGGCAGGGGCTCCTTCGCAGCTTCTGCAAGTTCTTTCTGCAGGCGGGCTTGCCGTCTCCTGGTTAAAAAAAAAGTCCTCCATTTGTGTCTGCTTCAGGACGGCACAGCACGTAGGGCCTCACAAGACGGTGCGTCCCACTAGCTGGACGTTCAGTGCTTTAAACAGACAACTGTCCTGGGCAGAGATGCCCCAAGTTCCAAACCCATCATTAAAGGTCTCCATTAGCAGGAGTTCCACTGCCCAATAAACAACATTCTTATCAAAGGAGAAAAGAATGAAGTTGTCAAGGGCTTCAGTCTTCTTGGATCAACTATCAACACTCACGGAAGCAGCAGTCAAGAGATCTGCTGCACAAGACCTTTTGAAAGTGTTGAAGAGCAAAGATGTCAGTTTGAGGATTAAGGTGCGCCTGACCCAAGCCATAGTATTTTCATTAACGTCATAAGCATGTGAAAGCTGGACAGTGAATAAGGAAGACCGTAGAAGGATTGATGCTTTTGAGTTACGGTGTTGGAGGGGAATATTGAAAATGCCACGGGCTGCCAAAAGAACCAATAGATCTGTGTTGGAAGAAGTGCAGCCAGAGTGCTCCTTGGTGGCCAGGATGGCCAAACTTTGTCTCTCATACTTCGGACACATTGTCAGGAGGGGCCAGTCATTAAAGAAGGATATCATGTTTGGCAAGATGGAGGGTCAGAGAAAAAGAGGAAGACCCCCAACGAGACGGATTGACAAAGTGGCAGCATCAATGGGCTCAAGCATGGCACCAATTGTGAGGTTGGCCCAGGATCAGGCAGTGCTTCATTCTGCTGTACATAAGGTCACTATGAGTAGGGACCGACTTGATGGCACCTACCAAGCAGCAGAGTCAAGTCTAGGAAAGATTCTGTTATGGGGAAGGTCAGCCTGTAGAGGGTTAGTGGTGGTGGTGCCAAACTGACATACCCAGAGCACGACCAGTAACAGTGAAGACTCAGTCACTAGGATGCACTTGGGGCCTGGCACTGTGGTATTTAGTGTTTTACGGTTTTTAACTCATTAAGTTCATACTCCTTAGAGGTTAAGGTTTTACTATTCTCACTTTCCAGGTGAGGAAACAGAAGCACAGAAGTTTCCAAACTGTCATCACTTACGTTGTTTCAAGTGGCTAAGACTAGACAGGCACAGAGCCCTGGTGACGCACTGGTTAAGTGCTCAGCTGCTAAATGAAAGGTGGACAGTTTGAATGAGCTCAGCAGCTCCCCAGAAATGGGCAGCGGAACTCTGCCAGTGGGGTCGCCACGCGTCTGAATGGACTCAACAACAGACGTCGTGGCCATGGCTCAGTGACAGCCCGGCCAGCAGGGGCCTCCATTTCCTGCCTCTCTCAGAACCATGCTTGTCTCACCTTCCCAAGTCCAAACTGAGGAGGCTCCTCACGGTCAGTCGGGACCTCACGCTCTCTTCCTTGGCAATTTCACCTGTGCCTACGTTGCACGCTGGATGGACAGGATTCACCTGCGGCTGTGTTGTATGATTTTAGGACTATGTATCATTGCACCCGGAGTCCTGGTGTGGCACTCTGGGTTAATGCACCAGACTGCAAAGCATTTTGAACTACAAGGTCGGTGGTTCAAGCTCATTAGCTACTACTTGAAAACCCTAAATACGGTCACTAGGGGTCAAAACTGACTCGACAGCACTTCACAACAACATCATTGCACCCATTAAAGCTCGTTTTCTGTAGGGAGCTCTGTCTGTGGAATGTGTGCACTGCGGTCTTGGGGCAAACCAGGCTGAGTGGGCTGCCCCGTGTCAGTGCTGGCCACCAACTGCTTGTCAAGGGCTTGTGCATTTGCAGAGACTGGGCTATCAGCCAAGAATATGAGTGTTTAGTGACCAAGTCTATTTCTGCCTTCATGAACCACGTCCGTTTTAAGTCCATCTGTCTGAGGGACCATCTTCTTGGCTCAATATGAAGGGTCTTCCGTCTATCTGGGAATTGATTCAGTTGAGTTGAATCTGGTATTTGGTGGAGAAGGCCCTTGCCCATGACTTTAAGAGTCTCCATTTTCATTTTAAGATGAACCAGAATCACTGAAAATCTGCAACACCCAGGGCCACTCTACCTGTCATGGGGCTCTGGTTTCTCTGTCACATTCACTGGTGGTTGGTTAGTGTCCAATCATTGTCACGAGGAGCGGTGACTGCATGGGCCTGCCTTCCTTTTATGCTCTTGGTTTTGATGGGAATGCATCTATTAAGACTGTTTAAACATGTACATTTCCCTCTACTCAGATTTGGAACCCAAATGTCCAGGGTGGGAAGCTTCCCTGCTAAGAACCCTACAGGTGATTGCTGCCAGACGAGCAGTTTTATTACTCGAGGGAGGAACTTCCCATTCGTGGCCCTGAGATTGGGCCACACCAGCAAGACTGAACTTTTGGTGTGGGTTTGATCAGTCTCATAAAATAAGTGGGGAGAGGGTAGGGAAGTGCCCAATCTTCCTCTTCAGGTTGAATTAATATATAGCTCAGGAATCCTCCTGCCTCAAAATACAGCAAGAATCTGTGAGCAACAGAGCAGAAGCCAAGGCTCTTCGTGTGTAGTGTGTGTGAGTATGAGTGTGTGTGTGTGGTGAGGCGCTCAGCTGTTTGTCAATGAAGACCTCCTCTCCCTTATGTTTGTGTGTGGGGGTGGGGGAAGGGTAAGGGGCACAGATGCTCAGCTATGCTCATCCATAAAGACCTCTCCCCTGTGTATGTGTGTGTGTGGGGGGGCACAGGTGCTCGGCAGTGTTTGTTCATGAACACCTCCTCTCCCTTGGGGCTGGGTTTCTGACCTTCCCCTGTGGTCAGAGCAGCCACCCTAGTCCTTTTCATAGACCAAGGCCCACTGCGCCCAGAGCAGCGGCCACCCGACCTGGAATCCTTCTCGTTCTCTGCGTTTAAGCGGTTGGCTTCCTGAGCTTTCTCAGCCATCCACCTGGTGACCAGCTCCTGGTTTTCTTCGGTGGTCTTCCTCAGCTTCTCCTCCAAGGCGGTAAAGGTGATCTGGAGGGCGTCGTACTCGTCCTTCAGGGTCTGGTTGGCTCTCTCCAAGTCCTGCAGCTTTCCCCGCAGTTCCAGGCACTCCGTCTCCAGGGCCGAGATTGTCTGCAAGCACTCGGCGATTCTGTAAGCAGCACACACCGACGGCTGGGATCAAGTACCCCACCCCTGCCGCTACGTGTGCACACGCCAAACCCTTGATGCTAACACCCCTCCCAAGGCCATTCCCAACCCTGGTGTCCCCCAGGAAAACCCCACGAGGACAGAGAGCCCTGGAGTAAGAAAGGCAGGGCCACTGATTCCAACAAATCAGACACATTATGGACAGAGGGGCGTGACCAGAAATATCTAGACACTTAGATATTAAAGATTATGTGTCCAATTACTCCACACAGCAAAGAACTCACAATGGAAATTATCCAATATTCTGAATTGTATGAATGATAATAAAAACGACATTAACTCAAAACATGGGCAAAGGGAAAAATCAAGCAAGCTGACCTTGGGGCACAGGCCTACTGACATACGTGGCGTTGCTATGAGTCAGACTTGACTTGTTGGCCACTGGTGGTAATACATCAATAATGCTCCTTTCAGAAAAGCACGAGTTTGGGTACAAGGGGCTTGGAAAAGGAAGCTGGGAAGACTGCGATGTTGCCAGCTACCCCATGCACTGGGCAGACCCTCTGTAGATGAAGGAACCGAGCCGATGAACTCCTCGCTCCCTCCAGCTCTTCGACCCCAGGCGCCTGAGCACCCCCGTGTGTGGGGTCGTCCAGGCTTCCCGCCCCTGCAGATGCTATCCTGGCCCTGTCCCCCACCATAAGCTCTCATGCAGTGGTCACAGGCAGAGCAGGGGCCACCCGAGACCTGTGCCAGGAGGACTAAAGCTCGGCTCTGGCCTGGCCCGGCTCTTAGAGCAGGTACAGCGGGAGCCAGGCAGTGCTTCCACTGAGACGGAGCTCTTGGGTGGCGTCCCGTATGGCATGCCCACACCGCAGTCCCAGTGCACTACTCACTTGGCCTCGTTCACCTGCATCTCCTTGTCCTTCTGCTGCATCTGGTTATTCAGGTCTATCACCAGCTGAGCGAGCTGGGGACAAAGCACAGGTCCACAAAGACAAGCTTTCAGAGCCTCTCAGTGACGGACCAGCACAACGATGCCTGCAGACCACCAGCCAGCATTCTCCCACGTTTCCCTGAGATGGCGGGGTTCACACTCAATGCTTTACGAGGCTTGCTTTCTAACAAGTCCCCACACAGGAGGGTAGCGGCATCAGGGAACCTGTTCATGGGCTCTGCGTCTGTGCGGTGACTCGGGGCAACTGCACCAGCTGGCATCTACCTGAGGGCCTTATCTTTCCCGGCTTTCCACCCACTAGATTCCTGAGACCCAGTTTGTGGTTTGAGTGTGCAAGACCCGCTGCAACACCCAGGGCCAGCGGCTCACGTTGTCATATGCTTCCCCGCAGACCGCTGCTTACCTCCCCACGCTTCTTGTGCAACTCTGTCAACTCCTCCTGGTGTTTGATCCGCAGCTGAGCCATTTCCTGCAGTTGAGCATCGTTCCAGGTGCCATCATGTCCTGGACTAAATCCCCAAAGCAGGCAGGGTGGGGAGGGGTCAAAAAGGGAGAGAGGAGAGACACTGATCAGAGCCTAACCTCCTTCAGTTGCCAGCATTTCCTGCTATCTCCTGACTTCGGGTTCTGTTAATGCCAGAGCAAAACGATCAGGTATGAGATGATGGATAAGTGTGACAGGAAGGGGAAGTGAGAGGAGACAGGTAGCTCTGAGGGCGGGCCTGCTCCTTGCGGGGCTCTGTGCTCAGTGTTGGGCACACGGCAGCTTTCAGCAACAGCAGGACCAGGGAGGAGAGACAGGATCAGCAGGTGTTGCCTGCCAGGTGGTCCTGTGGTTTCCAACAAGAAAAAGGAAGACAGTAATGCGAATCCTAACCGAGACAGGAAAGAAGCCATACACAAGCCACACAGGTGCCTGGGAGTGGACCTTTCTGAGCAGAGGGACTGCGGACAAGGTCTGGAAAGAACATGGCTGTGTGTCGGGAGCGTGACCTAGTGCAGTGGGCACAAAGACCCTTGACACTCCCTCAGAGGACTCCGGCTTTGATGAGGCACGAGAGGAAGCTTCTGAGGGTTCCAGGCAGAGGAACTACTTATGTGCTAGAAATTCACTAAGATTGCCAGACAGAGCAGGGGCTGTAGCGGGTAAAGGCTGATTGGGCAGAAGGGTCGGAGCGGCAGCAGTGGAGGGGCGCTGATGCGGTCACACGTTAGATGCAATTTGGAGAGTGCTGAGGAACTGGCACGTGCTCCCACCACTCATCTGGCATCCTGACCCCATCACAAGCAGTGGCTTGTGAGTTGCTGTGATTCTGGAAGCTATGTCACTGGTTTTTTATATACAAGCAGGGTCACCCATGGTGGACAGGTTTCAGATGAGCTTCCAGAGGAAGGCAAATTAGGAAGGAGTGACGAACTACTTGTGAATATTTAGCTATGGAAAATCTTATAAATTGCAGAGGAACACTATCAGATATAGAGCTGGAAAATGAGCCCCTCAGGTTGGAAGGCACTCAAAATACGATGTGAAGATGACTTAAAAAGCAGTCAGGAGCTCAGACGACGTACTGCACTGGGCAAATCTGCTGCACAAGATTTTTAAAGTGTTGAAGAGCAAAGATGTCAGCTTGAAGACTAAGGTGCGCCTGACCCAAGCCATGGTATTTTCAGTAACCTCATATGCATGCGAAAGGTGGACAGTGGGGGAGGAACAAACAAGGTGGTGGGTCGGGTGGCCATGCAGTGAAGAGCTCCGTCAGCTACAACACAGAATACCGAACCAAGCAGGCTCAGGGGATGGTCTGAACCACATATAAAGAAATATTTAGAAGGTTGGAAGGCTTACAGCTGTGGGAATTTGAAGCAGAAGCAAGAAATCCATTGCTTTCTAATTCAAGACACTCAGCTGTTCCCGGAACCGCCATCTTGGGTGAGACCAAGCAGGGGAAGGATCGGAGCAGCCACAGATGCCTGACAGAACCACAGAGATAAAGGTGTGGGCTCTTCTTGGTGTCTGTTCATTGGTCTCTTGCTGTCTGCGCACCTCCACTCTGGTGACTAGAGGGGGTGCCTGAGCTACTGGACACCCCAGCCCCACCCTTGGAGGGTTCTACTACGCATGTGCACAGATCTCCTTGAAATTTAAAGAGACAGTTTCCACTTAAAACCAAACAGCCAAAGACAGACCTGTTTATCACTAGAAAAAAGGCCTGAACAGGGATTGTGGAATGGGACAGACAAGACTAAAAAGGAAATAGGCTGAAAATTATATCCTAAGTTACGTCACAACGACTAAGAAGAAGAGTGAAAAGGGAAGCCCATCTTCTGATCACATCTACCTGGAGGCAATCAGAAAACATAAAAAAAAAACAAAACAAAAAACAACCAAAATACACACCCATCTAAGTATTAAGTCCACAGGTAACTCCTGAATATGCCCAAAAACCAGAAGCAGATGACCATATCAGCACATGTCCAGAAACAAGATAAAGTAACTGAGACATGAGACAAATGAGCTGGAAGGAGACCTACACTCCATACTGGAAGATGGGCAGGCTTTGGAAATACCTGAGAAGGAATTCAGAAAAATGATTATAAAATGTATGAAAACACTATATAATGGAGTTGAGAAAAATAAGGAAGAAGTCAGGAAAGCACTACAGGAACAATCAAATAAGATAGATACAGCATTGGAAACAATTCAAAACCTACAGAAAGAGGTCCAAACGATTAATGATACAATATCAGAAATGGA